GAGAGGGTTAAACCAGGCTACTCCTTGGAGGCAAGGATTCTGGGGCTTCATCTCTCATACTTTGGACTTGTTGTAAGGAGGGACAGGTCCTTGGAGAGGAACATCATGTTTGGGAGAGTGGAGGGACAGCACAGGAGAAGACCCTTTACAAGGTGGATTGATTCAGTGACTGGGGTAATCGGGATGGGTGTGTCAGAGACAGTGCGATTGGCACAGGAAAGAGCAGAGTTTAGGGCTGTTTTACATAGGGTCGCTATAAGTTGCAAGAGACTCGATGGCATATAACAACAACAACAAGAACATGGATGTTATGAAGGAAGAATTTCAAGCTGCTCTGAAAAAATTGGCAAAAAACAAGGCCACAGGAATTGATGGTATTTCAACATATTTCAACAAACAGATACTGCCCTAGATGTGTTCACCAAGTTGTGCCAACCACTTGGCCAACTGACTATAAGAGATCTATACTTGTTCCCATTCCAAAGAAAGGTGACCCAACAGAGTGTGGAAATTATTGAACAATATCATTGATATCACATGCCAGCAAGACTGTGCTGTAGATTATCCAAAAATGACTGGTACAGCACATCAACAGAAAACTGCCAGATGTGCAGGCTGGTTTTAGAAGAGGCTGTGGTACTAGGGATACTGTAGCTAATGTTAGATGGATCTTGGCTGAAAGCAGGGAGTATCAGAGGAATGAATATCTGTGTTTCATTGACTATGCAAAGCTGTTTGTGTATACCACAAAAAACTATGGCTAACTCTAAGAAGAATGGGAATCCCTGAACACCTGATCATGCTTATGCATGGACCAGGAGGCTGTTGTCAGAACAGAGCAAAAAAATACTGCATGGTTCAAAACTGGGAAGGGTGTACGCCAGGGATGTATCATATCTACATACCTTTTCAATCTATATGCAGAACAGATTATCCAGAAGGCTGAGCATTATGAGGAGAAACGTGGCATGACGACTGGAGGAAGATTCACCAACAATTTTTTTTATGCAGATGACACAACCCTGCTTGCTGAAACTGAGGAGGACCTGAAACACTAGGGACAGAAGGTCAAGGACTGCAGTCTTCAATATGGATCGAAGCTCAACAGGAAGAAAACAAAGATTCTCACGACTGGGCCAACTGGCAGCATCATGATAGAGGGTGAAGAGATTGAGACTGTTCACAGCTTTAGTTTCCTTGGCTCCACAATCAACACTCTTGGCACCAGTAGTCAGGAAAAGAAAAGATGACTTGCATGGAGAAAGTCTGCTGTCAGAGACCTTTCCAAAGGACTGAAGAGAAATGATGTCAGTCTGGAGACTAAGGTGTGCCTTTTACAGGCCATGGTCTTTACAATCAATCACTTGCTATGCATCAGAGAACTGGACAATGACTAAGGATGATAGAGATTTGATGCCTTTGAGCTGTGGTGCTGGAGAAGAGTATTAAATATACCATGACTGCTAAGAGAACAAACAGGTTTGTCCAGGAGAGGGTGAAACCAGGCTGCTCCTTGGAGGCACAAATTCTGAAATTTCATCTGACATACTCTGGACATGTTGCAAGGAGGGACCAATTCTTGGAGAGGGATGTGATGCTTGGGAGGGTGGAGGGACAGTGCAGGAAAGGAAGACCCTGGATGAGATAGATTGATTCAGTGACTGGGGTAATAGGGGTTAGGTGTGTCAGAGACATTGAGATTGGCACAGGATAGAGCAGGGTTTAGAACTGTTGTACACAGGGTTACTATGAGTTGCAGGCAACTCGATGGCACATAACAACAACAATGGACATTCAACATTCCTCTCCAACACCATAGCTCAAAGGCATCAATTCTTCTTCTATTATCCCTATATCCAGCTCTCAGATGCATAGCAAGTAATCAGGAAGACCATGGCCTGAATCAGACACACCTTAGTCCTCAAACTGACATCATCACTACTCAATAATTTGGAGAGACCCCTAGTGCTGACTTTCCCAGTGCAATGTGTCTCCTGATTTCCTGACTACTGGTGCTAAGCTGTTGATTGTGGATCCAAGTAAGATTTGACAATTATAATTTTTTTTCATCTATCCCGATGCTGCCTATTGGTCCAGTGATAATAATCTTTGTTTTCTTGACACTGAGATGTAATCCATATTGAAGGCTGCATTTTTCAGTCTTCTGCAACAAGTACTTCAAGTCCTCCTCACTTTCAGCAAGCAAGGTTGTGTCATCTGCATAATGCAGATTATTGATGAGTCTCCCTCTGATCTTCATGCCACACTCCATTCATCAAGTCAAGCTTCTTGAATAATTTTCTGGGCATATAGACTGAATAGGTATGGAGAAAGACTACAATTCTGAGGCACTCCCTTTTTAATTTCAGACCAAGTAGTGTTTCCTACAAACTCACTTATAAATGTACCCAAAAAAAAGTTAATCATAGAAAAAAGTTAAGGTCTTTTGTGCAAAACTTACTCTGAGTCATATTTAACTCAACAACATTTAACTACTGCTAAATAAGACAAGTGCTGTTACATCTAGAGAGATATTCTTCCACTTTGCTTATCACTCTCTCAATGTGCTATATGATGTAACCTGGGTTTGCTATGATGCTGAACCTTGTGCCATGGGGATATCAAATACCAGAATGGTTTCTCATTGTGGACTGTGTTTGGTGGAGCCCCCAGCTATAAAACAGGTTGGGAAGCAGGAGTGGTATCCACTTCCTAAACCACATGCCTCTGGAAACTCTATGAACCCAGAGGAACAAAGATAGCTATGGAAAGGCATTGGGTCTTTTGTTCATAGACTCGCTATGAGTTGACCTCGACTTGATGACAATCAACAACAGTGTTTCCTTGCCCTATTCACACAACAGCCTCTTTGTCTAGATACAGGTTTTGCATGAGCATAATCAAGTGCTCTGGGATTCACAATCTTCTCAATGTTAGCCATAATTTATTATGATCCACATAGTCAAATGTCTTTGCATAGTCAATAAAGCATAAATAGACATTCTTCTGGTATTCTTTCCTTTTAGCTAGGATCCATCTACCATCAGCAATGATAACTCTGGTGCCACAAGTCTCTTCTAAATATTGCTTGAAATTCTGGCAGTTTCCTATATATGTACTTTTCTAGCTATTTTTGAATTATTTTCAACAGGATTTTGTTTGCATGTGATATTAATGGTATTGATATAAAAAAAGAGTTACTAGCAGACTCAATGATACCAGAAAATCAACTGTTCACTTAAACTCATTTCAAATAAAAACATTCACGTGTGAATCTTTTTCTCTCAGTAATGAGCATAACCTACAAGTAGCTTCACAATTCACAACAAATAACATCTTTACATTTACCCCAATTATATACACCTCTGCTTAATGACATTTTAATCACCTTTTATAATTTAGAAGTGTCATAAAGATTTTTATAACATTCAAAGAAATTCTCCTCAAAAATAACCAAAGGAAAAATAAAATGTATATAAATTTTCACAAAATGGTATCTGCTTTTCCCTAATTCACCAGAATGTTTTAAAGACATTAGAATGCATTTAAAAATAAGCACACTTGAGAAAGAGAAATCATGAGAATGAAAACTATTTAAGTATTATTAAATAAAGTAAAGGTATTTCAATGGTATACTTTAAGGAAAATCTGATAAACACGATCATAGAGACATAAATGAAAGATGAATGTGAAGAGAAAATGTACATGACAAAAAAAGTGGGGTTCTAAGTAATGAATAAAGGGAGTGGAAAAAGCAAGTTTGGTGGTTTACATGAAGTATGTTATTATTTGGTCCTGTCTAGTTAACTATAACTCATAACAATCCTACTAACAACAGATCGGAACCTTTCCTTATCCTGCATCATAAAGTTTAGCTCCATTTAAACTTAAATTTGGATTTAGTTAAAGCAAGGAGAGAAAATTATTACAAGAATATGCTGGCTGCTAATGATCACATGTTCCTAGAAATAATACATTTAATCTGTAACACAAAAAAATAAGCTATAAAATCTGACTGAAAAGGACTGTGTGCCACAGTGTAATCAAGCGCCAAAAATTGCCCTTGAGAAAAATACTGCATCCAAGAGGCAAAAAATATTCTACGTAAAGAGAAAACATCTACAAAGTGTGGTAACTACAGAAGACAAAAGCATACACAAGGATGAATTCATGGATCATCACAGTCCAACCTGTTTGCACTGGCTTGTTTAGACATGGCCTTCAATCTTTTCAAAGTTTTTCTAATAACATCAGCATCGGGAAAATGGTGAGGACCTGGAGTCCCTTTAGGAAATCCTGGCCGTACTCCAGGTGAAATTTCTCCGTAGATAAATATGCACAGTAACTTTCATTACTTTCTCTGAAGCAAAACTTAAGCAACTTGTACAAAACATAAACCATACCTTTCTTGAAGACCCCGGCCACGCAGTTCTCTTTTCCCCTTAGATTCATTATCTTCTGCTCTTTGCCGCTGCATTTGATCAAAAATGGCATGGTAATGTTCATACTGCCTTCGAGGAGAAAAAGGTGGAGCAACTGCTCCTCCCCTGACAAAAAAGGGGGCCTAGGAATTAAACAAAGAGCTTTCACATGGTTATCTTAGTAGACCTAAAAAGTGTGTACCTGCCTCAAAAGAAAAAATATATCTCATGCCTTAACTTTAAAAAAATTCTCTAACTACATCATAGTATTAAATGCACCACTTACAGCAAAATGTTTGCCTACAATATTTTAAGCTTCAGCTTATAATAAAAAAGTAGTAACTTTGTTACCAACAATAAAGCAAAATTTAACATGACAAATATGGAAAGTATGGTCTTAATGAAAATGATTCTAAAAGAAGCTTTTAAAGCATTTCTTATGATTCTGTCCCATTACGCCAAATATATGACTTATAACCAAAGCACAATTTTCTTTTATAACAAAGAAAATTATATTTAACAAAAGTATGTGTATGTTCTATTTAATAATCCCAAAATAAATTCACCAAGTAGTTATTCAAGATCATGTACCATGAAAGTACATTTAATGTATGAATAAAAGAAGCAAAACACAAATAAGTTATAATTTAAGTAGGAAGAGAACACACAAACTAGAAAAACATCTTAAGACTAGTAAAATGAAAGATAATAAAAGACAGTCAAAGTAGTTACTGAACAAATACACAGAAAAAAATTATAAATTTCTTAAAAGTAATCGAAAGCACAATGTTTAAAGACTATGAGAATAACATGTTTAAATGTTTAAACACCATGAGAAAGAGAAATATGTACCAAGCCATTTAACAAAATGTACTTACACATTTAGATATTGGGGAAGGGGAGGATGTATGAAGAATAGGGTCAACAAACTATTACAAGGAAATGTTAAGCTTGGCAGTAAAAAGTAGGTACAACTAGCTACTATTAGTACAGGTGTTTCAGATTATATCATAAACTACAGGATCCATTTATAAACATTTTTTAACAGTACACCAAAAACAGCTGTTAAAATGTCAGCATTAAGCATGATAAGAAGAAATAAACAATAAATCAGAACAGAAAGATTAATGAGACTGCTGTTGCTCTGATTCCAAGAAAGACGCCTAGAAATAAAGATAACTACTAAATAATAAAAGCTTGAGGGAGTTGTGAATTTTCTGTTGTAATGACAAAGAATATATGCAAAAACAGAAGGACTCAACTACAGACATATAAGAACACAACCACCTTGAAAATCCAAACAAAATAAAGATAGTAGAAAACTATAAAAGAAGTAAATAAAATGTACAATGCTACAGAACTCATGATAGAATATTAGTAAAAAGAGGAAAATCAATGACCTCATATAGCACCAAATATAACAGTCATGTAGTAAACTTTTTTAAAAAATCAAAAACATCCTTTGTAAAATGGTAAGAGCAGATGCAAGAATACTGACAATAAAGAAGGAAGAAGTCTGGCTAAAATAGATAGAAAACCATTACAATCTAATAAAAAAAACTGGAGTGTAACTCAGTAACATTTGTTTTAATACTATGACATACTAAGTTACATACAATTTTACAAGAAACAGTATTTTTTAAAAAAATCATGTTAAGAAAAATTTAGTACTAAGAGATGAAAAAATGTTAAACAAGGATGATGATGTGACAGGAAGTTCCATCAAGAAGATGCTTACACACATCCTCAAAATAAGCACCTCAAACCAAGATCAGAATCAGAATTCTGACTAAACATGGTCAAATCTCCCATGATACTGGTTACTGTTGGAGTTTTAACTAGTGTTAATGTTGTTGTTAGGAGCTTGCGACTCATAGCGACCCTGTGTACAAGAGCTCTAAACACCGTTCTATCCTGTGCCAACCTAGCCATCCCAAATGCACTTATTCCCATCACTCCAGTCACAGAATCGATCCATCTCATCGAAGGTCTTCCTCTCCTTTGCCGCCCCTCCACTCTCCCAAACATGACGTCCCTCTCCAAGGACCAGTCCCTCCTTGCCCAAAGTATATCAGACAAAGCTTTAGAATCCTTGACTCCAATGAGCATTCCAGCTTCACCTTCTCCAAGACAAACCTGTTTGTTCTCCTAGCAGTCCATGGTGTATTCAATACTCTTCTCCAGCACCACAGCTCAAAGGTATCAATTCTCTATCATCCCTATTCACTGTCCAACTCTCTGATACTAATAGCATCACTTATATTGCAATGTTGTTCACCATGGTAAGAACATAAAAACAGCCCAAACGTCCAACCACAATCGAATGGATTGAGAAATTTTGGTATATACGATGGAATACTCACAGCACACATGCTCAAGGATTTTGAAAATCATTACCTAACTTGAGAGAGACTGGAGAGCATCATGCTAAGTGAACTTACTCAGTCTCATAAGGAAAAATACTGTATAACACCATTATTCTGGAAATATAACTAGTTAACATGTATGAGGATCCAAAGGGGTAAGGGTAAATGACAGTGGGGGTGAGGATGGACAGGGAAGTAATCATAAAGACACACAATTTGATGGGTAGAGGGAGGGTGGGTAAAGGAAATGGGAAAGATCTGGTGTGAAAAACAATGTACACGAACTTTTTAAGTAAACCAGTATAAAAGAAAAATTTTTACTTTAAAAAAATGCTGAAAATGTCATGTTAGAACATTGAAGCAATATGATCTTTTCAAAATAAACTTAGCTGCAATAAAATTTATATGAAATAAAACTTACAATCATAAACAAGAGTTTTGACATATAAATGCAATTATAAAATATGTACTTTTTAGTGTGTCTTCTTTCACCTACTATGTTATTGAGACTGACCCATGCTGTTGCATTTATAGATTATTCCTTGTTATTGAATAGCTGTTGTTGTGTACTATAGAGTGGGAACCAACCAATACCTGACCCTCCAGTGACTCTTCAGAGGCAGTTAATTGCCTATCCTTCTCCTGGGAGCCACTGATGGCTTCAAACCGTGTGCCTTTGACACTGCAGCACAGCTTCTTGCCACTAGGCCACCACGCTCCCTACTGAATAGTATTCCAGTGTCTTTTCAAACTACAGATGGACCTCTTGCATATAATGATCGTGATATGACCAAATATGTATGTGGAATAAAATTTTATGCAATTACATATTTATAAGAGGTACAAAAAAAAGATAGAGTTGGCTATTACAACACCTACCATTGAGAAGTACATTAATATTTTTAATTTTTAAATACTTCTCTTAATAATATGAAACTTAGTATTTGTTTTCTCTAAATGTGGGCTTCTTAATTTGATTCATATTATATTGAGCTTTTAGATCCTTACCAACTGTAAAAGAAATCAAATAGCAAAGTAAGTTTAATATTTAAAACTCTACAGGTAATTGTAATCTTGTTATGTTCCTTTGAGTAGGAAATCAACTCACAGTTGACTCCCCAAAGGGTTTTCAGAGGCAGTAAATTGCATGAGAGGAAAGTGTACATTTTTCTCCCATAGAGAAGTTGTGGATTTGAACCACATGCCTTTGGATTGGCAGCACAGCTCCTTACTACCAGGATACTAGAACTCCAACAGAAAATAAGTACAAAAACAAATAGAATTTTTTTAATTGATAGAAAACCATCCTTATTTAAATAAATGATGGCAAACAAAATTGTTTAATCTTCAACAAAAGAATTACAGCCAAATAATGAGACTTTATAAAACAAAGAATGAAACAAGTGAAGAATATGCTTCTTAGCACAATTACATAAGATACAAGGGCACCATATGCCCAAAACCAAAGCTAAGAAGACAAGGAGGGCAGGACAACCAGACACATGGAAACAGGGAGAGTACTAAGACAATGTGGGCTTGTAAAACAACACCATGGGACAATCTGTTTATGAACCATTAATTGGGAAACTAATGTACTATGTAAAGTTTCATATAAAGCACAATAAAATGTCAAAACATGTACAGTGAAGCAGAAATACATTATGCATACAATATCTATATAAAAAAAGCTAGACATTTAGGAATACAATAGTACATTTTATACATAGTAAAATTACTTTATTATATATAAAAATATAAGCAAGAGGGAAATATAGAATAATGACATTTTCAACACTTAATACAGATCTGATACAAAGGATTTGGTTATTTGGTAATTTCTCACTGCGATATCAGGTAAAACAAGGAGTGACTTATTTTAGAAAGGGCTACGTTGAGCCTCTCTTTATCACTCAAAGGTAGGTAGGTTAAGTTCTACTTAACATTAACAGTGTTGTTACTTAACAGTCAACATCAACTCATGTCAACTCTAGATTTGTAGTAGGAGACTATGCTTGTCAGTTTTCAAGGCGATGACCTTTTGGAAGCAGAATGCCAGGCCTATTTTCCAAGATAACTCTGGGTGGATTTGAAATATCAAAATTTCAGCTAGTATTTGAGTACTTAGAAGTTTGCACCAGGAACTTAACATTAGGGTAATAATAGATTACTTAAAACTGTATACTCGGGGAGCTTTGGTGGCCTAGTGGCAAGAATCTGCACTGCAATACGAGAGGTGTGCAGTTCAAATTCCCCAGATGTTCTGCTGCAAAAGGAGACACAATCTCTTCCTGTACCAGTCAGACCCAATTTGATGGTAGACACACACACACACAAATTTTTAAAAAAGCTGGGGGATATAAACCATCTGTTCTGCCAAACCAGAGTAGACTAAACAATTCCTTACCCACTAGGTGCCAGATCATCTCACTGCATACTTAGTGTGCACAAACATGTAAATTTAGAAAAGGCAACTTATATTGAATTGTTGCTTTCATTATGTGCTGTCAAGTTGGTAACAACTCATAGCTGACCCCACAGTTGGTTTTTAGAGGCTGTAAGCTACATGAAGAGGAGACCATTCATCTTTCTTCCTTTGAGCAGCGAGTAGAATCAAACCAAGTGCCTTTGAACTGGCAGTGCAACATCGTACCCACTAATCCCCAAAGCTCCCTACATGTTAGTTATTCAGAAATTTATGTAATTGTTGATATATAATACCCTTAAAGAGATGAACTGAAAAGCAGTGAAAGCAGCAGTGGGCTTGCGCATAGTAGAAA